CGCTCCGCCGGCCTTCCGCCTCCCCCTTCTTCGCCGCCGCCGCCGCCTCAGATTCTCGTCAGCCGCCTCCGCCCGCCCTTCCTCCCCCTCCTCCTCCCCCGCCGCCCACCGCGCGCCCCTTCTCGCGAGACTCCGCGCGCCGCGAGACTAGAGGGAGCCCGAGGAGCCTCGCTCGCGCTTGACTGACGGGAGGGAGGGGCGGGGCCTAGGGGAGCGCCTGAGAGAATAACACACAGCGCCCCGCCCTCTTCGCGCGGCGGCCGCCCTTGCGTCGCGCCTGCGCCCGGAGGCGAGGTCGTCTCGGGTGCGGAGGAGGAGCCTACGGGAAGGGTCCGCCTTTAAGCCCCGCCCCTTGGTCGCCTCGCGCGGCCTTCCTCCATTCTGCGCAGGCGCTTTACAGAGTGGGAGCGTGTGAGGGGGGAAATCGGCGCTCGCCAGGGGGCGCATGCGCGTCTGAAACGCTGAGGGAGGGTAATTTGGGGAGAGTGGGATGTACCAAAGGAAGGGAAGAAGCGGGGGAGACAAGTGGAGTGTACCAAAAAAGGGAAAGGGAGGAGAAGGGAAGCGTACAAAGTGGGAAAAGGAAAGTGAAGTAGACCAAGGGGAGCCTATCATGGGGGAGGAGGAGTGTACTAAAGTTTGATACTGGAGGGGGGGGAAGAGAGTGGAATGTACCAAGGGAAGGAAGTCACAGGTAACAGATAAGGGACCGTGGGGTGGACCAAAGGCGCAGTTGGTGGGGGGGGCGTAAGCGTGGGTTGTACCAAGGAAACTAGATAATAGGGGGGAAAGGAAAGTTTACAAATAGGGCAAAGGAGGATACCAATCAGGGGACCACGGGGGGGTGCACAAGACTGGAGTGCACCAAGGTGATAGGAAGGGATAGTGCGGGAGAGGGGTTCCCCCTTCACGGGTGGAGGGCGGGGTTTTTCTTTTCCACCTCCCCCCTCAGACCAAACCAGAAGGTCACCCACCCCAGAAAGTCACTGAAAGTTTGCCAAAAAAACAAAAACAAAGGAATTTAAGAGCTTGTTGGGGGATTCTGGGAATTGTCGTCCAAATTTGGACTCTAAATTGCATTTTATTTTATTGCAAAATATATATAAGATAGTGCGGGAGAGGGGTTCCCCCTTCACGGGAGAAGGGCGGGGTTTTTCCTTTCCACCTCCCCCCTCAAACCAAACCAGAAGGTCACCCACCTACCCACCCCAGAAAGTCACTGACTGTTTGCAAAAAAAAAGTGATTTAAGAGCTTGTTGGGGATTATGGGAATTGTCCTCCAAATTTGGACTCTAAATTGCTTTTTTTTTGCAAAATATATATAAGATTGGTTGTTGTAGGTTTTTCGGGCTGTCTGGCCATATTGTTGATCTAAATAAGATTCTCAAGCTCTGGTGGTGAGCTCTTTGAGTTAAGCCCCCCTCCCCAGGAGATTTCACCAGGGGAAGTTTATTTTCGCCCTCGGATTGGACTCCAGGCTCCCCTGAGATTCTAGTCCTCATTATTTCCCCCTGAAAGTCTGCCTTTGAACCCGGTGCCTCCCAGCCCTATAAGGCTTTCGGGAAGGAAAGAGTCTCTAGGTTTCCTTAAAAGAAGGAAAAATGCACCATGGCCACCCCCACCCCCCAGTTGTTATTCTGGTGCTTGCTAATCTTCAGGAAAGCCCTGAGTTAAATGTTAATTATGCAACAGAGAAGCCTGGATTAGCCCGGGCTCTCTGGAAACCCGTGACTTGCTTCAATCCAGGGAGAATGAGCAGGCAGGGCGCTGCGGTCGGCCCTTGAGAACCAAAGGCTTCATGTGGTGCCTGTTGGGGATCACTGCCTTTAGAAAGAAGAATGCGGGTGCCCGTTCTGAGTTGATTGCTTGATGGCTCCGTCTATCTATCTGTTTACTCTGAGAGATGATTGAGAGAGAAGTGCCACCCTCCGGGCACTGACTTTGGACTCCAGTTCCCCATGTTCTTCTCTCCTGGCCACGCTGGCTGGAAATGAGTTGTTGTCCAACAGCCTCTGAAACAGTCCATTTTGCCCATGGAGAAAAGCACTCCGTGTAACTTATGAATCAATGAGAAAGACGTGACACGATCACTGCTTCTGACACAACACAAGAGGAAAGAGGGAGGAGGAGGGTAGAGGAAAACGAAAACAGCTGATACATGAGTACTTTGTGCAACAAGACTCCTCAGTAGATCTGTGAAGATTCTCACTCCTCCGGGTGAGGTTATCCGGAAGCTGAGTTGTGGCCACTAGACTTCTTTCTTGTTTGGTTGAAGCATGTCACCTCTCATCCAAGCCCCTTCTTCGGCCTTTGTCCGTGTCTGAGAGTCAGCCTAGTGAGGATAGTGCCATATTAAATGTTAGGAGATCAGGGTCCAAGCGCCTCCCTTGACCCGAAGCCATGAAATTCACTGGTCATCTCCCCTTCTCTCCTGTCCTGGGTTTCTCCAGAAGCTCCGTAAGCAGCAGCTTGGAGCCTCCAAAAGCCCATTAAAAAAATCAAGCCACTGTATATTTAAAAACAAAATATTGTCAAAATAAAAACATATTTATTGGATGGAGTGGTGTTTGGGGGGGGGTCTTACAGAGCTGACCATCGCTTGTGGCCCTTAAGGGCTTATATGAGAGATGAAGTTCAAGGAAGGGCTGGAACAAGACCAAAAGGCCGGTGCTCGGGGTCAAATCCAGCCTAAATGCTCCCTAGAGGCTAAAGGGATGCAATTGGGGCTATAAAAAGGCAAGCCTCGCTAGAAAAGAAAAGACCAAGGCGGGGAGACATTGGAAGGTAGTAGAAGAGGAAGGCTGAATATGAGACGGACGGATTCAGTAAAGGAAGCCCCAGCCTTGCGTTTGCAAGAGCCCGGTGGGGATTTTAACAACAGGGTCATCATGGGGATGGTCATTCGCTCATCACGTCGATGTTAGTCAGAATGGGCTTCATCTCAAGCCGGCCTACCTCGAAGGGCAAGTGTGAGAGTAAAATTAGGTGGGGAGGACAGTGATGGACGAGAACCGGAGCTGATTAGAGGAAGGGGAGGATGGAGGTAGGAGAGAACAAAGCCTCTTCCCAGGTGGGGGTTTATAGCGAGCTTCCTTTGGAAAGCAGGGCCCCCCCCTGCAGTGTTCTCTGTGGGGCAGCACAGCACCAGCCTCAAGCGCTTCCTTCCCCCCCCCATGCATTTTCCCCGGTCCCCCCCAGGTTTGTGGGGGCTGTGCTTCCCTCCCTCCCGCTGTTCAGCCCTGCATGTGTTGGGAAGCATCTCTCCTGGAAGGAAGGAGAGCCAGCTTTTCAAACCCGCCAGCTGCATCCTGGAATGCTCTTCGCTCCTGCTGCTGCTGCTGCTGCTGCAGCAAAATGACTCACCCGGGGAGGGTGCTGATCCTGGCGCTGCTGTAGTTCTCCGCTGGGCTGACCTTACAGAAATTGCAGCAGCCCAGTTTCTCTCTCTCTCATTTTTTTTTCTTTTTTGGGGAGGGTGGAGAACATGGCAAGGGCCTGGCGCTGAAACCCCAGCAGGCCTTGCTCGTCCGATCCTTGTGACCCTTGCATCTTTCGAAACAAACCTGCCTGCCTTCTGGAAAGCTTGGACTCTGCAACCCATGCTCGGAAAAAGAGATTTCTGGTTCCCTTGAGAGTTGTATGTTTTTAAAAAATATCCCCCCCCCAAATGCAAGGGGGGGGAATGGGCATTTTTTTGCCCCAGATGCTGGAAAGGGTTCTTGTTCTGGATTTTAAAGCTGCCCCCCCACGCTGTGCCATGCATTGGAGAAGACACTCTGTCTCTTCCTCTCTCTCCCCCCCCCCTTGATGTTGTGAGAACTGGCTGGCTTCAGAGGAGGAGAGGATGATGCATGTGAATCGCAAGCCCACAGGATTGGGCCCCAAAGGGAGCCCCACCTGAGAAACAAAGAGAGAGGAGGAAACAGGGGTCCCTCCTTGAGCTGGGGGCCTGGTGGGGGGGGGAGAGAAGGACGAGATCGGCACGAAATGGACCGGGAGACTTTAGGTCCGGATGGGCTTTTCTCAGTCGGTCCCACCTCAAAGGGTAGTCGTGGGTAGGCAGTCCATACATTGCACTTTGGAGGCACCTCGGCGCTTAAAGCGGGAAATAAATATCCAATAAAGCAAAGAGGGAGGAACTTGATCGTCCAAGATTGGGGAGAGTTGCCGATGGTTGGAAATAATCCCAGGTGTGGGTAAAAGCCGCACAGTAAACACACCCACCGACACCCCTCTAAATTATCCGGGTTGGTGTGCAGACATACCCCCCCTGACGTCAACCACCACCTTGGGGCACTTAGATCAGGATGGAGGACACCTCCCATCGTCCACAGACATGCAGACCAAAGGATCTGGATGGCAGCCAGATGTGTGTGTGTGTATCTAGTGTGTGTGTGTCTGGGGGGGAGCGTTTTTTGCCTTGGGTTCCCCTCTCCACTGCCCCTTCCAGGCTCTCCCAGCTGCCCCTCCCAGCCAGCCAAGGGTTCATTTCCCCCCCCACTTCCACTCCATCTCTCCCTGGGTGGGGGGCGCTACCTGGTTTCCTATTGGCTCGGAGCTCCTGTGCCCACCAGCCAGGCCGGTCCCTCGTTTCCTAGAGAACAGGAAGCCGGAGGAAACCAAGAGAGCGGCTGAGACAGGTGGGCATAGAAAGGAGAAGGGGAGGCTAGGAAACCTCTTGCTTGCTTGGTTGGTTGGTGGGAGGGAATTCCACAGGACGCAAGAACAGGGGGAGGCCTAAGGTGGCCCACAGCTGCAACAAAGCGCTGGAACGGCCAACATCGCATCTTGGCTTTTCCAATAATAATAATAATAATAATAATAATAATAATAATAATGATAATAATAATGATAATGATGATGATGATAGTGACTAAGACAGGTACTGCAAAGTGCGGGGGCTGCCCTTGAAGACTCTGCAAGAAAGGGGATGGAGGGCAGCCTTGTGTGGCCCAGGGGACTGAGACGGATTCTGCCTCGCCTGGCCCGACCATCCAACGGGCCACAGAAGCCCTGACCTGCTTCCCACCGGATGTATTATAATAATAATGATAATGATGATGATGATAGTGACTAAGACAGGTACTGCAAAGTGCGGGGGCTGCCCTTGAAGACTCTGCAAGAAAGGGGATGGAGGGCAGCCTTGTGTGGCCCAGGGGACTGAGACGGATTCTGCCTCGCCTGGCCCGACCATCCAACGGGCCACAGAAGCCCTGACCTGCTTCCCACCGGATGTATTATGGGATGTCCAGATCTGCTCCAGCCCCTGAAAAGCTTCCCCTGCTGATTCTCACATCTCAAGCCCCCTCCCCTTTCAAGCACAACCCAAGCTCTAAAGTGGAGCCACCCATCATCTACCCCCTCCTTCAAAGCAGGGAGGACACTTAAGGCTTCTTAAGGCTTGACATATTAGTTGAAGACGTTTCCATCTAAAGGTGGTCCTGAAGCATGGTCAGCAAAGAGGAACTTCCACCTCTAGGAGAAGTCTACCTCAACATTTTTGCCGGCCAGAAGCTTTTGACTTTCTCAGTGCTCAGTTGCTGTCATTAGGGTGATGGAGGTGGTGATGTTCTTGGTGGATTAATTAAGGATTCATTAGCACACTTCTCTCCCTCCCCCGCATCCCTTCCACCCATGAATGCATGGGATACTGCAACAGGCTAGAGCAAAGCTTGGAAAAGCTGATGTCCTGGAAATAACTCCCAGAATCCCCCAGCCAGTATTGCCACTGGCCCTGCTGGCTTCTGGGGAATTCTGGGAGTTGTAGTCCAAGTCAGGGGAAGGAGAGTTTCCCTATGAAGACCCGACCAAAGTTTGCTGGGGCTCAGGATGGATGCGGACCACTGTGCGACTGTGCCCTCCAGTGGTCAAATGTAGGAACTGCGCATCTTCACTGCTCGGGTATGGGTGTTTTGCTGCTGCCCTTTGGCTGTGGGAAGAACTCAAAAAAGTTACTTTTTTTCAACTACAAAACATCTGTGCTTTAAAAAAATGGGGGGAGGGAGTGAACAGACCTGGGATAACATTAGCAGACTAAGAGCAAAGCTTGGGGGAAAACTACAAGACCCCCAAATCCCCAGACAACATCCTGGGAATTGTTTAACATTACTTTTACAGTAAAAGCTGCCAGTTAGATCATTCACAGGTGTGAACCTGGGGTGTGCGAGGCCATGATGTGCCAACAGTGGATGTGGCCAATGCAAGCTGTGGGTGGAGTTTACACCCCCACCCCCCCTATTTCTGCTTCTCTCCCCGTCTCTGATTGCTGGAGGGCATGGGGGGGGGTTCTGATACCTCAGGCACCAAAATGTTTTGCACTACCCATACATTTAAGAGTTAGAGCCATGGGTTCTGGGAAAGCGGTTTGTTCAAATGTTGAATGAAATCTTCCAGAAGCCCCAACCATTGACTGGGGATTTTGGGAGTTGCAGTCCTTCCCAGCCTGACCAAGCTTCCTTGCAGGGTTGTGGTGAAGGGGAAAAGGCACGTATTCTGCCTGGACTAGGTCAGAGCATGTGGCAAATGAATGAATACATACACGGAGGTGATGTAACTGAGTCGAGAAATGGAGAGTTCTGGGCTTCAGAGTCTAGAAAACCTGAAGGGCACATCCCAGTCCCTCTCGGTTTGATCTACTTTGCAGGGTTGTTGTGTAGATCATGCGGGGGGGGGGAAGAGAGACCTTGAGCTCACCAGACAGACAGCGGGAGGCAAATGTCACTGTGTCAAACAGCTCAATTATACATCAGAAAGAACAACTGCAATGAACCTCCAGGGCAGTCCTATTGTGCTTCCTCCAGGGAAACGTGCGCCGGATCGCAGCCACCTGGGGCCTCCCAGTGTGACAAGGTCGCTGTCGAGAGCCTGAAAAAACCGTCTGCATGCTTTTGCAAACGTGGCTAAGGAGAGCTTGCAGGTCAAGCGGGGTCATAAGGTGAGAACCGCCTGAAAACATCCTCCTTCTGCAGATCTGCTACATTTCTTGGTTGTTGTTTTCCTTCCTTCCGATTTATGTATCTCTCTCGGCCTCTTTCATCCTTCCCCTGAAAATGGATTGGCCTCTAGAATCTAGATAATAATTCCAGAGGTTTTTTGGGGGGGAGGGGTGGCCTGAGAAAAGTTACTACAGTATTTCAGTCCGGAGCCACTCCCCAAATTCTGGAGGTGATAGCTCTCCTCTCCTGAAAAAAAAAAGTTACTTTCCCGAGTTGACTTCCTAATACTGTACTTCCGGGAAACAATGTATACTATGGGTGAGGCTGGGAGAGGGCGGAGGGGCGGTGGCCGGGTGCTTGGCCATTTCCACTTGGTGGACTACATATCCCAGTATTCCCTGGCGTGGCTGTCCTAAGGATTCTGGGAATTTCAGAAGTCTCTCTCTCTCTCTCTCTCTCCCCGTCCCCCAATGGGCAATAAAGAGACCCATTTCTCCAAGCCCTGGTGGCGCCTCCGGCGAGGAAAACGCTGCCAGCCAGGGGCGCGGGGTCAGCCTAGATAACCTCGGGGGACCGTCTCCCATCCCCGCGCCTCCTTCCCCAAAGGTCCCGGGGCGGGCGCGGAGGAGGCGGGCCACGTGTCTTCCCGGAAACCGCCTCCCTCTTCCTCCTCCCCGGTAGTGAAGTCACGCCTTGGATTTAGGCAGCAATCCCAGAGCCGCCCCTTCCTTGGGCTGGGGGGGCGAGCACGACACCAGTGGATCGCTCCCCTCCCCCAGCCCGGGAGAAATCTTGTGTCCGACGTTGGGTAGATTTTTTTGGGGGGGGGTATTCCCATTTCCTCCTCCCCTCTTTTTTTTTGGACTATTAAAAAACCCCAACCACCATCGCCAAGGTTTGAAACTGGGGTGGGAGGTCTGCGCTTTCTCCTCCGCGCAAAAGGCGCGCGGCTTGATCCTGTCTCTGCCCCCTCCGCGGCAGAGGGTGAAGCGAGAGCAAAGGAAGGGGGGAAATAATTAATGATGATGCTATGACTCTCCCGCCACTCCAAAGACACCCTCTTCCTTCTCTCTCTCAATCCCTGGCTGGCTGGCTGGCTGGCCGGCCCTGCTGTTTGTTATATTCTTCAGGATCATCCTTAGCCGGATAAAGCAGCAAAACCACGTGGAACGGAGGCTTGCGATCCACGGAAGCGCGCACGTGGGAAGAATTCGGGGAATCTCAAGGAAGCGACGCTGCTGTCGCTTCCCCCCCTCCCCGCCACCCGAAAGTCATACAATAATAATAATAATAAAAGGAATAATCAGAACAGCCACGTTAATATACATTTAGCAGGAAAAAATCCTCCCTCCCGGCAGGCCCCCCCTCCCCAATTTTGCTGGGGGATTCTGGGAAGCGTCGTTCAAACGGCGTGCCGGGTAGGGGAGCCTGGGCTTTGTAGTCCGCGTCCGCTTCCTCGGGAGTCAAGGCTTGCGCGGGAGAGCTCGCCGTCCCGGGCACTTCCTTGCGCCAGATCCACGGCGCGCGCGTGAGTCAGCAAGGAGGGAGGCCGGCAGGGAGGGAGGGATCGGGGCCCGCGGCGCCGCGCCTGGGGACGACAACCCCCATCATCCTCGGCCACGGCGGTCCCGGGGAAGATTGGGAGCGGCAGTCCGGCCCCGCGGGCAG